TGCTTTGACCAAGGAAATGTGGTGGGAGTCAAGCCTGTCACCTCTAATAGAAGACTCTGGAACCAGTGATATGGGCCACTCTCTCTGTCCATCTCTGATAACACCCAGCAGGAACCTACATGTTGGCTGCTCCTTTATCCTAATTATCCAGGAGAACCAGGGTGTTCATGTGCTATGAACAAGAAAGATACCTTCTTTACTCTAAGCCACTAAAGCTTTGGGTCTGTTTATTACCCACAATAACATCTAGCCTGTCCTAATGGATACACATCCCCTATTCTACCCTCAAGGAGGCAGCAGAGCCTAACATTAGAAGCCAGAGCTCTGTTGTTAGAGACACATGGGTTGACGTCCAGCTCTGCCTTTATTAACTCTAAAAACAAGCAATTTATATTGAGTCTCTGAGCCTGGATTTCCTCCCCCCAAAATATATGATTAAACCATCTCAAGTTGCAGAGAGGATTAAATGAAATAATAATGCATGTGAAGCATTGAATCCAGGGCCTGGCACCTGTAGTGAACATTCAGTACCTCTTAACTCCTTAGCTTCACAATGTGTACTGACTACAGACATGCCGACAATGTGGCAATGTCAATGTGTTGGCCTATGTATCTTTTCAAATTTTCTTTTTAAACGAATAGGATAGGATTTTGTATGTTCTCTCATAGCCTGCTTTTTCTCTTAATAATGGCATATTTTGATGTTTTTTTAAAAAAAATGCCAGGCTGGAGTGACTCAGTTTGTTGAGCGTAGGCCCATGCACAGATTGCCGGTTCAGTTCTTTTTTTAAAAAATATATTTTATTGATTTTCTACAGAGAGGAAGGGAGAGAGATAGAGAGCCAGAAACATAGATAGGAGAGAAACATCAATCAGCTGCCTCCTGCACACCTCCCACTGGGGATGTGCCCGCAACCAAGGTACATGCCCTTGACAGGAATTGAACCCGGAACCCTCCAGTCTTCAGGCCGACGCTCCATCCACTGAGCCAAACCGGTTAGGGCACCGGTTCAGTTCTTATTTGAGAGCACCTGCTGTGGTTATGAGCTCAATCCCCATTAAGGGGTCATGTAGGAGGCAGCCAATCTGTTTCTCTCCTTCTCTCTGTAAAATTCAATTAAAATATCTTTACATATATTTATCCATTTAGATTTGTAGTCTTAGGTTAATTGAAATAATACTTTTCATCTGAGGGAGCATTCTAAGCATCACGAATTCTGAAATAATGTTTCCAAACAAGAGTTCAGTTTTGTAGACAACACTCCCCAGAAACCTGTGACCAGCCCCTAAAACCTAAAGTTGTCAGTTCCCAGTGCCACTTGGATGCCCCAGAACAGTATTTGCAATGGTCAGTTAGTGACTGGGATCCTAGAGCCACATGTGAGGCTAGATTGCTACATCAGCCAAAGGGCCATGAGCTAAGGATGGCTGGTTTAGCCAATGAAAGTCCAGGAGAGGCGCATTATCCCTGAGCTCATTGGTTTGAGCTTGACTTTTAGCGTCTTTCTCTTGGTGGTTTATTTGACCTTTGCAGTGTGTTCACAGAATCAGAGGCTCCAGCGCTGGGTCACGAGAGTCAGAGGCAGCGTCCCTGCAGTGCAGTTGTGTGTCTGAGGCTGGTTGAGTCACAACAGGCCGTGATTGTGTCCTCCGTGCCTTCAAAACTACTTTGTGCTTCCAGAGTTCAACCAGCCTCACCTCATTTACCCTCCAGCCCCGAGTGTGGGTGTCCTCTCCTGCAGCCCAGGTCACTGCACTGGAACAGTGAGTTGCTTGAAGGTGCCACATGGTATGACTGGGTGGGAGAGGGTGACAGGCTAAAAAGCCACCGTGTAAGGCTGTGGTGGTGTGACTGAGGAGGGAGGATTGGGGAAATCCCGGTCTGTCTTATGCCTAAAGACAACAAAGAAGATGAAACAAAGCTTTGTGTGAGGAGTTTTCCTTTCATTTTCAGGAAGCTGCTTCTATCAATGGCTGTGAACCAAAGAGGGACATGGTGTGAGTTGGGTTTCTAACCTTTTCTCAAAACTTCTCACAGGAAGAAAAGACTAGAAGAGAGAGGATAGCAGTGAGGGACGGGAAGGAGAAGTCCTGTGAAAGCCCTGATATAATGCAGGCATCACCCGGGCCTGGGGCAGGGCAAGGGACGTGAGCAGCCTGAGCCCATGGATCCTGGTAGTGGTTGCCAGGCTCTCAACAGTCCTTTACTTTCCCCAGATTCCTGCAGATGCAGAACTGCTTAGGGCAGTGGTTCTCAACCTTCTGGCCCTTTAAATACAGTGCCTCATGTTGTGACCCAACCATAAAATTATTTTCGTTGCTACTTCATAAGTGTAATGTTGCTACTGTTATGAATCGTCATGTAAATATCTGATATGCAGGATGGTCTTAGGTGACCCCTGTGAAAGGGTCATTCGACCGCCAAAGGGGTTGCGACCCACAGGTTGAGAACCACTGGCTTAGGGGGACTGGGTTGTAGAGCTTATTTCAGGGCCTCCCAGCCTTGTGGCCTCTGAGATAGTGGTGTCCTGGGACTGTCCAGCCACTCATCTAGGCCAGTGGTCAGCAAACTGCGGCTTGTGAGCCACATGCGGCTCTTTGGCCCCTTAATTGTGGCTCTTCCACAAAATACCACGTGCGGGCACGCATGTACAGTGCGATTGAAACTTCGTGGTCCGTGCGCAGAAGTCAGTATTTTGTGGAAGAGCCACACTCAAGGGGCCAAAGAGCTGCATGTGGCTCACGAGCCGCAGTTTGCCGACCACTGGTCTAGGCCTTGGACCTGGGGACCTTAATGAGACACCAAGTCCAGAATTCTAAGTCCAGGTCTAGGGTTATATGAATGGTTCCTGTTTATGGCAACCAGTGGAATGGGATGTGAGAGGCTTTCCCAGACATACCTAAATGGGTGAAGGCTTAAAGTGAAGACTGAGCTCTTCAGTAACCCTCAGGTGTCCCTTTTTTTTCTTTTAGTTAGTAAATGGTAACAATGGGACAAGAGTCAGGTCTTGAGCAGTTGTGACAACTTGGAAGTCTGTTCTGTAGGTGATAGGAGTAATGGGCGATTTGGGGCAATGGAGACAGGGGATCTGACCCGGGACTCATTAGACTCCCTGTGGCTGCAGCATGATGAACTACAAAGATGTAATGGAGGCAGTAGAAAGACTAGGATGGAAGCTTCTATGATCATCTTGGTTAGTGTCATGGTAACTGGCCCATGATGGTGGCTGTGGAGGTAAAATGAGCTTTGGATTCTGGATTGGTGTTTTAGGTGTGGCCACCTGGATTTTCTAATTTGGAGGTTGAGAGAGAGGTAAGAGTCAGGGATGACGTGAAAAATTGCATTGGGCAGCTGTAGGTTTTGAAAGACCATCAGCTGAGATGCAGATATTCATAGTAGGAACTGTAATGTTCACTTGGGATACCAAAACTTTTATATTTTACCTGTTAGGGTTGTGATATTTCAGTGAGCAATTCATGAGCAACTGGAACTCTGAGGCGCAGTTCAGGATGAAAACTTCTTTAAAATAGAGGCAAAGTGTAGGGACTAGGGAACAGTTGTAGATCATCTTTTTTTTTTAATTGGAAACCGAAAAGCAATCAAAGAAGATGAGACTGCAGCTGTTGCACATTTACTTGTTAAACACATGAGAATAATGTTGTGAGCTATAGCCTGTGTTGTTGTCCTCATTCTGGTTGATTTGCTTAGGGCATGAGTGGTCATCGGTGAGACTCACTGGGCATGGAGTAGATGGCCATAGAGTATGGGACCTGAGTGATGAAGGCTGTGTCTCATGAAGGGAAATCAGGTGCAGCACCAGTGGAGGTGGCATCTGGATATGAGACCTGATGTGGTTCTCAATAGGTGAGGTTGAAGGAAAACACAATCAGGGAGGGAGGCCTTCATAGCAGGACTCAAGGCTGCCTCAACGAATGTGGACTCTCAGAGTTGGTGTAGAACTTAATCCTGTTTGAATTTGCCAAGCAGTCACTATACCACACATGCCGAGTAATGAGTAGGAAGTCAAGGAGATGACTATGGGGGCTGTGTGTGTGAGTGCAGGTGTGAGAGATGTTAGAGAAAGAGTGATGTGCCCTTGGAGAGGGCATGTGCATTCATGCATGCAGGGCACTGCCATTTGAATAAGAGGGAATGAAGGTTGAGTCCGTTACCTGCTGATAATACAGTCTGGTGAATTTCAGGTTAATTCCTGAAAAGAGGGTGTATTGTGGTGGTACAACCTTGGTCGAAAGCTTAGGTGAAATATGTGTGCACTCCAGCCTCTTGTTGAGGGCTGTTACAGTGATCAATAGGAATGAGATAGCATACATCAGTGTCCTCTGGGCTTGAAAATCTCCACTGGCTTTGGAAGGCAAAATGGGAAGAGAAATACATTACAGAGGTGGTGAATTCAAATTTTGGAAAAGAAGATGATTAGGAAATAAACTGTGCTCATCATGGCATATTTGTGTTACATTTGACTTTGTGCCTCTGGGAATGAAGCTGTGTGAGAGAAGGGTGGTTCAATGAATTATGTCCAGGAGGCAGTGCAAAGTAACGGCTTCAGAACCCTGGGATTGGATTCAAAGGGTTGAAGTGAGATACCATAATTATCGCAGTCTTAAAATGAGAATCCAGGAGACAACACGGCATTGACTGACAAGCATCATGTCAAATCTTCACACTCTCATTATGGACATCATCTCTCCCTACCCTATGTTCATGACACACACTGTATTGAAAAGAGGCAGTGTGGCCTACATGTGAGTCCCAGAGCGCAGGTATCATCTATATGATCATCTACCCTTATTGTTGTGGGAAGACACAGTATCAGTATGAATATAAGGAGAGAGGTTCTTTGATGGGACCAAGTCCTGGGTCCTTTTCTGATGTGGGGAGTAGAGAGAACAGATGGATGTGGATGTTGGGGAGGATGATGAACATAAAATCCTAGCAGAGAAGCTGATTATGGACTGAACTGTGCCCATTGTGACAAGATATGAACTTTGAGGACATGGCCATTGCCTTCTCTCAGGAGGAGTGGGGGCTCGTTGATGAGGCTCAGAGACTTCTGTACTGCGATGTGATGCTGGAAGTGTTTGCACTGGTATCATCTGTAGGTAAGACCTTCACAGTTCTCCTAGTGTCCTGAGGTGATATCCTGTCTTCCTTTATTCTCCAAATGTAAGCTTTCTCTCTCCCACAGCTAGACCATCGGCTCTTCTATTTTTATCCCATTATCCTGTCAAATGTGATGTGACCTAGAGTGCTGAGTGTGTGGAGAGCCCTGAGCAAAGGAGTCCATGAATATCCCTCAAACCCATAGCATCAAATAGTGCAGGAAGTGTCTGGGAGTCAGGATTGTTCCAAACAGCTTAATGGGCCCAAGTTTGCACTTTCTCTTTCTGGGAGGGTGTCTATGTTCACACCCATGGCTTCCACTTCTGTACCACTCCTTCAGCTATAGGCTCTTTGTGACTGCCTGTGCCAGGTTATGGTCTTTACTTGCATGAACCATGGGAGATTCTTGAAAAACCTCCTTCCATTGTTTGTAATATTTGTTCCCTGAATACATTGCAGGCTGTTTTGCTCTGGGGCAGTGCTGGCTACTCACCTCTGTTGTCTTTCAATAAAACTCAGAATATTTGTGTTTTATGTGCTTGTACAGTAGAAGGTACAAGGAGAGCCCTGGTTTTTTCACAGGGTAAACATGCAGGATGATCTAAAGGGTTGCCTGGCCCTCTTGAGTTGCAACTTGTGGGAGGTATGACGTAAGGGTGGTGTTTAGATCATACCAGGAACCTGCTCATGTCCAACAGAGTTTAGGTTGATGTGCCACTGGCAACAGCTCATTTCTCCCTTTTCATTCACATGCTTGACACTTCTCTGATTTATCTTTAAATCTGTGACTTCCTGGTTTCTGGCTACCTTCACCTTTTACCCCTTTTCCATCACCTGTTATTCTGAACTGCTCTATCTGCAGTATTCTCAAATATTGACCTGCACGTGTGTTATGAGGTGCAAAGACGTGCTTCACTAGACCTTGACACAAGCTTCTCATTTCTTGAATTTTATTTGGAGTAAGATGTAAGCAACATTCTGCACAGCTTGCCCATGTCACCAGCAGACAAGACAAGACATGTTGAACACTGTTACCAGATGAATGAGCAGATGATCCAGCTTCTGTTCCATGTGGTGCTTGCCGTGTTTGTTTCATATTTTGTGTGAGATCTTCCCTGTATGGTAATCTTCAGTGGCCCAGAGCATCACAGCATCTTATCAATCCTTCCTACAGATATGTTACTGTCAGACAATTGCATGTAACCGATGTGTTATGTGCAACACTTTTGTAATGAGACTTCTTCCTATCACCACAGTCGACATTCATTTCATCACCATGTTTCTGTTTTCAGGTTGTTATCATAAAACAGATGATGCAGAGGACTGTTCTGAGCAGAGTGTATCTGTACAAGGGGAGTCACAGGACAGTGCTTCTAAGACAGCTCCAGAAACTCAGAGGACCCATCTGTGTGGGAGGTGTTTCTCTTTGTTAAAAGATATTCTGCACCTGCCTGAATCAGAAGCAGCAGACTTTGAGCAGAAAGCCTTCTTCAGTGATGCATGTGTGAGTGTGTGAGAGACTTCTGTTTCAGTGCAAACCCTCACCAGCAGCAGAGGGATGCCAGTGGAGAGAAGCCCTGGAAGGAAGCTGTGGACAGGGCCTCATTTGTGACCAGGTGCAGCTTCTATTTATCAGGGGTGTCTTCAAACAGTATGGAGGTTGGGGAAGACTTCCCAGCCATCTCAGAGATTCTGCAGAACCAGGCCACTCTCAACACTGAGGAGCCACACAGTCGTAGTGAGATTTCAGAGGAATTTCTCAATAGAAAAAGGCATCGCCAATGGTATGAATGTGAAAAAGCTACCTGCCACAACCAGAACCTTGTTCAACATCAGGGTTGTCTGCTCTGGAGAAGTGAAATATGAGGGTAATACCTGTGGGAAAGTTTTTAGATGTGTCATTAACCTCAATAGACATAGGAGAGTTCACATTGGAGAAAAGTCCTATGAATGTACTGATTGTGGGAAGCCCTTCAATCACAGGTTTTCCCTCACTAAATAACACAGAGTTCACACTGGAGAAAAACCTTACAAATGCAGTGAATGTGAAAAATCATTTAGTTGCAGTTATCTCTTATGCCACAAGAGAGTTCACACTAGGGAAAAGCCATATCAATGTAGTGGTTGTGGGAAGTCCTTCAGTCAAAAGTCTCAGCTCATTCAACACCACAGAGTTCACACTGGAGAAAGGCCACATCAGTGTAGTGACTGTGGGAAGTCCTTCCGTCATAGCTGTACCCTCACTGTACACCAGAGACTTCACACTGGTGAAAAACCATATAAGTGTAGTGAATGTGGGACATCATTTAGGCAAAACTCTGCTCTCACAAAGCATCAGAGAATTCACACAGGAAAAAAACCATATGAGTGTAGTGAATGTGGGAAATCATTTAGGCAAAACTCTGCTCTCACAAAGCATCAGAGAATTCACAATGGAGAAAAACCATATGACTGTAGTGATTGTGGAAAGTCATTCAAGAACATTTCCACTCTCAAAGAGCATCAGAAGGTTCACACTGGGGAAAAGCGGTATGAGTGTAGTGATTGTGGGAAGTCCTTCAGCAGAAGCTCTACTCTCATCCAACATAACAGAGTTCACACTGGAAAAGGGCCTCATGAGTGTACTGAATGTGGGAAATGTTTTCCATACAAATCTGTCCTCTTTCAACACTTGAGAGTTCACACTGGAGAAAAGCTTTACATTTCCAGGAAATGTTTTACTTTCTCACTGAGAATAATAGCACCAAAGGAGTATTCTTTACCCCCACTTACCTGAATACAAAACCCCTTACATACACTGCTAGATTCCTCATAAATTTCTGGCATAAGTCAGGCTTTCAGAACCTGCATCACACTTGCTAACCTACTCAGGCCTACAACCTGATTTATGTCACTGCAAGTATTTGTGTGGAAGCTATTTCACCCCTACCACCTGGCTTACCTGAGGAGTCTGCATCAGTCACAACCCCTGCATACTCTGGGGATGTGGTTGAGAAAATTCTGAATTTTCAGAGCTCTTGGCTGGATCTTCATTCCTTTCTCTCTGACTAGAGAATTGACCTGACCCAGGTTTTGTCCAGAGCGCCCCTCCTCAGCTAAGAAGTGCTACCTCTTTCAGGGACATTGTGCTTCTCACATTATGCTGTGATGAATTGTTTCAAGTTCCAATTCATCAACTTGCAAACCTCTTGCTGCCCTTTGCTGTAGTTTATGATCTTTGTGTAAAGATGTGTTTCCTTGTTGTTGTTTGTTTTGTACTTTAATTTTGTTGGTTCTATTCTTTCCCTGGGATGATTGAAAGGAAAGTTGTGATCTGTCAGCATGGAGAGTTGAACAGATATGGTAGGTCCCAAACTTTCTGTGCTTTGGAAGGCACCACTTGATGGCAGAAAATCACTCTTTGTTCAATATTGGCAGATTTTGTATTGCTTACCAAGGCTGTGAGAGAAAGTGTGCATGACTTTGTGGTTATAATTTGCTGTCTGGTGCCTCTTTTATTATAGCAGTCTATAGTTGCCCTGAACAGGCGGCCTTTATTGTGCTTCTGTGAACAGTATGAATTATATTCCCTGTTCACAGTATGTATTTCACAAGTGTCAGCAATGTTTAGGGGAACTACTCTCCACGTGCTCCAAAGAGGCCATGTGTCATGATGTATGAGATGTCATAGGCTGGTGTCATTTCAGACCCTGAAGTGAAATTAGCATTGGGACAGAAACACTGATTTCATAGTTATGGGAGACACTGCAGTTAAACTAGATGGAAAGTGCCTCTTCTAGACATAAGTCCAAATTATTCCAGGGCCTGTGGCCTGTTTGATCTTTGATGACATTCTGAGGACCGCCATCACTATTTCCTGTAGCTGGAATCACTGTCAGACAAAATAATCTCATGGGTTTGTGGATTCCCTTGGCCCCTCTAGGGAGGTCACCTCAAGCTTGTTGCTCAACAAACAAGAACTCAAAGCTAGCAGATGGATAATCCTGTAATCAGTCCCAAGATGTGTCTTTTGTAACCAGTTAGCATTCCTGTTGATCCCAATGGCAATAGTCTTCACTGCTTGCTAATATTCGCTGCCACTGAGGCAAGGTTGGTCCTTCCAGGAAATGAGAACTGACATGCAACAGAGAGCACCTTTCTAATGTGTGCTAATTGGTGAGCTGTGACCTAGAGATAAAGCTGTGAAACTGTCAGATGTGACGTAAAACCACCTCTAACTCATACACAGGGTGGGGCTATAATAGGCTTCGCCACCGCTGCTGTGCTCCCCAGCTGTGAGCCCAGCTTCTGGCTGCACACACTCCCCCTGTGGAAGCACACTGACCACCAGAGGGCAGCTCCTGTGTTGAGCATCTGCCCCCTGGTGGTCAGTGCACATCATAACAACCGGTCATTCTGCTGTAATGGTCATTTTATTATATAGATTAATGGGCTTTTATTATATAGAGTATTTTATTATTTTCCATACCATCATCTCTAAATTTACTTCTGCCACATCCTGTATTTTCCTATTATATGTTCCTATTATAATCTCTCTTTCTGCCTTGCTGGACCTTCCATGCAGTCATGGATTTTCCTTCTATTACAATAGCATAGTTCATACTGTTCACAATTTTATAGGCACAATTTGATGTGTACTGTTTAACAAATTCTGGTGTCCTCCATGCTACGCAATCATTTTGAGATTCAACACAAATGGTTCTGTGAAAAGTTAATTTTTTAAAATTTTGGAGTAGTATTGTGTTCTGTGAATAATCACTTTATCTATTGATCTATGGGTTTTTTTTATCATTTCCAGGTTTTGGTGTATTATAAGTAAATCTTTTGAGAATATTTGCATTAAGTTCTCTATATAGACATATGTTTTAGTTATCAAAGTGTTGTGTAGGTGAATGTTTTACATTAAAATATGCAGAAATGTGAGCCAAAATGGTCATTCCCTTTGCCTTCCCCTTAACCCACAGTATATAAAAATTCCAATTATTCTGTAACCCTGCAAGGACATACAGTGTTTAACCTTTTCAAATAATAACCCCAGAAATGCATATAATGTTAACTTGCTTTCGTTTTAATTCCATCTACCTAAGAATATTTTATGGTGAACATTTTTTCATACATTTATTTGCACTGTCTTTATCTGCTTTGTTAAAAATGTCTGCTGATAATCCTTTTCAAATTGTTTAAATAAACTTATTACTTTAACTGAAGGAGGACTGTGCAGCATGTAAGACAGATGCTTAAATTTCCCTCATTCCTCAGTGACTCAAGTGACTCCTTTGCCATATGGAACCATTGATTTTGAATCCTGGGAGAAAAATTCTTTTACTCATTTTTTAGAATTATGTTTTTATTGATTAAGGTATTACATATGTTTTACTCAGTTTTAATGCTATGTCCTACTGAAGCCAACATATACCATATACTTATACATTTAATCGGCATTGCTAACATTCAGCGCCACTCTTATTTAAGTCTAAGCATTTATTAATGCATTAAGTGAAGTCCAGGTTTGTAGTATTTGTCAATTTCCCTGGCATAAATACTGTCATCATGGTCAGTTTTAAACTGCCAAAGTGATAGCATTGAATATGCACATGATAAGATATTTCAGTAGCACATCATTGTATTTTATTTTCAACATGCTGATATAGTTGCAACAAATATGCTCCAGAACTTTCATAATAATACAGTAAAATTATTGGGAAGTTTCAAGTTTCAAACCTTTCATAAAGTTTGATTTAAGTACAATTGATTTAAATCATACATTAACAATATTTTAATTGATTTCATGGAGGAAGGGAGAGGAAGAGAAAGATAGAAACATTAATGATGAGAGAGAATCACTGGTAGGCTGATTCCTGTTCCACCTCTCTCCCTGGAAATTGACCCTGCAACCCAGGTATGTGCTCTGACCAGAATAGAACCATGACCTTCTGGTTCATAAGTCGATGATCAACCACTGAGACACACCAGCTGGGCTATAGTATTTAAAAAGTTTTTTAAATATATGTATTTTTATTGTTGCTAGTATTATAGATGTCTCCCATCCCCCCCCCATACATTCTTTGGTGGACCTATTCCAGGACTCCCTTCTCCCTCCCCTCAGAGATCTGTCAGTATGTGCCAGTTAAGCAGACCTCCAGTCCCTTCTTGTCCTCCAGCACAAGTTGTGCTGCCTCAACACCAATACTCACCAAGGTCATTGCAAAACTACATTACCCAGAAAGCACTGCGCCAGAGTCAGACCTGTAGGAGCAATTTGGGGCCTTCACATCCGGTTGGGGTGGGACTTCCTGCGTCCTCCTCCTGGCAGTCAGTTTGGCCTCTTCTGTGGGTTCACAGACTCACAGGCTTCAGCGCTTGGTGGCGAGTAGCAGGAGGTGTTGGAGGCAGCGTCCCCGCTGGGCAGGGTGTGTCTGAGGCTTGTTGACCCCAAACCGGCGGGATTGGGGTCCCCGTGCCACCCGACTCCTCTTCCGCTGACAGAGTTCACTCAGCGTCATCCCATTGACCCTCCAACCTCTATTCCCGGCGCCGCTCGGGTCCCGCAGCCCAGGGCGCAGCGTCCAGCACAGTGAGTCCTCGTGGGGGACCCGGGGTGGGAGG